TCGTCAATGGGTGTCGTCAACTGTTTCACTTCAAATCGATCAGTTAACTTGAACTTTGCTATAATGGACGAAAATTGTAAAATTACATATTTAATATTTAATTACCGATGAAATGTGATTCCGTTTGTTTTGTAATTAGATGTTTTGCTGTTTTTCCCACACCACCGAATAGAACAGCACGGCATTGTTTGAGATATTATCTTTTTTGGAATATACGGAGACGTACACACAGGTCAGTAGTTGGCCTGTCTATATTTCAGTGCAAACGAAAGTTGATATTTATAAGAGCTGTATCGCTAATGTGTTGCCAGGAATATATGGCCCTTATTTCGTCTCTATTTCTGGTTATATACTCGATGCGTCGAACGTAGCAGAAACAACTGTCAAATGTATGCCATTGTGACAATTATTTTGCAATACAAATCGTTGTTTGTGATTGCGACGAGTGAACTGTGTGAATTTAATATTTTTACAACTTTATGAAGCTAAATAACTAAACAAATGACGATCTCCGTGGTCGAGTGGCTTGCATACCGGTTTTCATGGTGTCCCCATCTATGAAATCCCGGTCAATGGAGAAAAGTAACTTTTCTATAGGTCGGGTCTGGATGTTTGTAGTACTATCGTTGTTTCCGATTTGCATAGACAAAAGTGCTTTAGTTACTTACTTTGCAACGTATTTGATGTTGTCTAATATTTATTTATTTATATTTTGGATACGAAAATACAGCATGTTTAGAGTTCCGAATATATATTTTTTCCGAACAAACAAACGTCTTGGCTTTATACAGGTGCCTTGGTCACGGATGACTAAAAACTAAGAACTCCAAATTTACACATTGTTTTATGACTGTTGTTAATACACAGCATCGTGGTACTCTAATAACGCACACACTCAACATGGCCCCGCACTAGGGAAATCTTGTGTCGCAGGTGCTATGGACACACACATAGACAACCACAAATTACACCTAAATTTACGAGAGAAATAAATGTAGGTCATACAAATATTACTCCCGGCCCGGGAATCGAACCTGGGACCTGGGAACCTGGGCAGTCATGCAGGCAGGCATGCTAACCGTTCGGCCACGGATGCAGTTAAAGTTAAATCTCGAAGGTAATAGCTCAAAATCAGCGCTTTGCTTTTAGGCAAAACCCGGACTGAATTATGATCTGTTTGGATTCCTGCATCACAACACAAGAGTTGTTTATAATTAGGTAAGTTTGTTTTTCTTTTTTTCTTTTATTAATTTGGTTTTCAACAGTTTATTTTATTTTTATTTTGTATCTGTTTTTCTTCCTTTATTACTATTCTGAATGGTTGATGTATCTTAAAAGTAAAAACTTCTAATCTACTAACAACTTTAAGTTATTGTTGCAGTTTCAGTTTTCTTACCGGCAGTGTAATTTTGAAAATATAAATTTTCATTTCAATGTTACGAGTACGTTTTTTCAAAAATTTGCATGATATATGCACTATATTTATTATTTACTAGATTTTACAACAGTTACACTGCGAAGCCTGTGAAGCCCATAAAGCCGCGAGCCATTTGTCAGTCGTAACTCTAGAGTAACCCTAGTAAGCGCGGTCTCACATAATAGTCATTATTCTATAAATCAATCTTAAGTGCGTATAAGTAAAGAAGCATAAGACTATAAGAAAGCAAAATATTTAAAACACGAAAAAAAAACCGATTGTAAAAAAGGCGTTCGCTACAAATTTATAAAGACGATGCCAAGCACAGTAAGATAATGAATGGCTTTTGAAGTTTAAATTTACACTTTGTACATAAGGATGATACTTGAAAGTGTTTATACTTCACCATTAAGATAAATGTGTGAAAGCGTCATAAAAATCTTTCAACGCCTAGCACACATTCGTTCACATACACATACCTATATAAACTTACATACAGCGGGAAAAGCTTTTCGCTTTCTTCAAATCAGAAAAAATCAGGATTCAACATTTTTTGTGAGAAATTAACATGTGCCAAGAAAAATGTATTTTAGTTAAGAGAAACTTCCTTAATCAAATAAATACCACAAAACTGTAGTGAAATCACAATAATAAAGAAATCACGTATCACTGAACCAGGACTTACACGGAACTGCCAAAATGAAACATAATTCACTTAGTCATAGATTGATTGATATTTTCCAAATCACTAAGCTATCTTGATAATATATTTACTAGGTATTTATACTTTTAGGGAAGATCCGGTACACTTCGGTAACCAAATGATAAAAATAATATTGATTGAGTAATAAAAGTAAATATCAGTGGCACTGAATCTTAATTTTAAGCATATCTTACGGAATTAAATGCATTAGGACAACGCTTTGTTTCAATTTGAATATGGTGGAAAAGGCACGTAAAATTTATCGCGGTCGACAGTACACATTTATAGAATTTATCTCATTTATATTTAATATCAAGCAACGGGACGAACAAGTCGTGCGACTGGTGGTAAGCAACACCCCCATAAGTGCCACTCAGAGGTTTAAATGCATAGATCTGAGGAGCACCTTTTGATTTCACCAGCACCCTTCAAAACTGAACGCAGTATTGCTCACATTACTGCTTGGCGGCAGAAATAGATAAAGTGGCAAGTACTTCCCTGGACGAACTCTTTTGCAAGGAGCTCTACTTCTACTAAATTAAAATTCTTTATCGAATTATAGATAATAAGTTTAAAGAAGTACTCAATTTTTATTTTGTTTTTAAAATGGGTTGATCAGATAACTGATATTTTCGCACTTTACAATTACTATTACAAAATATGCAATGATAACAATAAAGAACAAAGCAAAATTATATTAAAAGTAAAAGGGAGGAGTACACAAGATGGTGCAATTCAATAGTTTATTTTCATTATCCCGCTTGATCGATAGACCGTGACGTAAAAAAGGTTGGGAAAGATTATTGCCTTGCTTTTATATCTATCTGGCCTAAACATTAAAAGGTTCCGAGGGCAGTGCCCGCACGATGTTATTTTAGCGTTAAAATCAATAAATCAATATGGAACTCACGTTTCCAATATTATGTTGGTGAATATAATTATGACACCAACTTGCTAATAGGTGACATTTATATTAGGTATAGTGAGAGCATTTCAAAAAGGTCAGTCTTCTACACCTATTAGTAATCAATACAAAATCAATCAATTATCAATAATTTCAGGCTTCTTACCACGGTATGACTTCTTTTTGTTTTCCCGATATTTCGGAACGGTTGCACGCTCCATGGTCACGGTTGACTGGAAGGCGGCAGATGACAGCTTTAAGAGCAGACATATATGTCTATCCTCTTGCGCTGTCGACGAATACCTTCATCGCGATTTGTTGTGGCGTTACCACAGTCGCTCATTTTTTTTACACAAACCACACTCACTGTACCCACACCCGAAACTGAACTCGAGGTATTTTTATTATTGCACGCACTAAGAACCGGACTCCATGCACTGGACAATTTAAAACCATCATCACGGTTAAATGTTTTGTACTTCCGTACTACTGAAACGTACGAGAAGCCATCGTGACCATGGAGCGTGCAACTGTTCCGAAATATCGGGAAAATAAAAAGAAGTCATACCGTGGTAAGAAGCCTGAAATTAGTGATAATCATTTAGTGAATAACAACGAAAGCCTTAAAATCTATACAATATGATATAGGTTTATAACGATTTTAATATCAAAATATACATTTTTCACCTCACTACGGCTTTCATTAGTCATAGTGGGAGAGCATTTCAAAAAGGTCGGTCTCTACACCAATTAGTAATCAATACTAATAAATATAGGTTTGTATCGATTTTAATATCAAAATGGTTATACATTCTTTCCCCTCACTATGGCTTTCATACATAAAGTAATTTTTCACAGGTGTCAAGTTTCGGAATGCCATCAACCAACGTTTAGCAGAATATAGGTCGAGGGCAGGTCAGACATAGGGACATTCGTATCGTGACATTGCATTTATAGCGAAACAAAACGACACTATGGGGTACTTGGTGTGTTGTTTTAAAGGATCACTAATAAATACTTACACCATGAGGAAGCCTGCAAGTAGGCACAAGAAGAACATTGAACATCAATGTCGTCAGATGGTTACATTTCTTTTTGACCCTCTCGCGTAATACGTAAATAACTTTTGTTTCAAGGCAATTTTAGTATTGAGAACAATGATGTTTGAATGAAACAATTATTAGACGACTGTAATAAAGAATCCACTCCCTGTTTGAGCATGACCTCTGAAAGATTAGTCGCATAAAGACGAACCGAGAAAAGGGCCGCTATTCGCGTGGCTGACCTCAGGCGAGATGGACAAATGTCATCAAAAGTGTCACGATGAGTTTCACGATTGAGCGCTATCAGATTGTCAGAAGTAGGCATAAACAAATCTCTACAAATTCAAAACGAGTAACGACCATTTTGTTTGCATCGATCTGTACAAATTAGTGATCTGAGTATTTATTTGGCGTTTCTGTAATCCGATAATTCGTTGTTTTCTACTGGTGGTTTTTTTAGTTTTTTTTAGTAGATTTGAAACTTTAAAATTGTATGAATGGTCGAAAGACTGATAATCATGATCTGCCACTGTTATAAATGGACTCGTTAAAGTTAAACGTTGCTGACCTTTTTAATTCCCATGTAAGTTAAACTTCTTAGATATTCTAGATTTATCTAGTTCTAACAATTACAGGCTTATTTATTATGACCTCATTCTCTGATGGTAATTACTCTTTACTAAGGTTGAATATTTATGATAAATACTAAAAGTCTCCACGCAAAAGGCAACAACACGTCAGCATTATTGGAGTACAGATTGATTTTACTTAGTTGATATTGTATTACGTTAGATGCTTTTATCATTGTAGTGTGGTCTATTTGTATGTTATAAAAACGATAAGTAATTTAATCGATTGGAAACAATGAACAAAAAAGTAGAGCAAAAAAATAAGATAATTTAAGAAAAGATAATAAATAAGTACTATACTTACGTTTCATTCTCGTCTATAAACATTGTTGACCACGTAAACCTGCAAACAGACAAATAGGATGTTTGAATTTGTATTTAACTCCTATACAATGACGATAATTATGGCAGTCTTTAATATTGCAAAGTCAAACGATGAAGTGAAATAAAAATCAGTGGCCTGTCGTGACAAAAGAACGGGAAACTTTACTTTTAACGCGTTCGTTCTTAATCGCTTTTAATTATAATTTTGAAATTGATTTACTGGCTGATATAGGTTCTTTTTAAATTACGTCGAAATAATAAGAATGGCGTTTTCAAATAATAAAAACGAAGGACAATTTAATATCTCGACTCATCCGTAGAACAAAGATGTATGTGCAAGACTACTTGTTCTCAGGACATTTCGTTCGTTCTTCTTCGCTGTGGATGTCAGATCGACTGTTTCGTTGGATTTTATATTTCCGAAATGAAATAAGATATATAAATTCTCAAAACACCTTAACGTAGGCCTTAGTTTAAAAAAGGAAATTATTCTCGTAACGTACTTATTCACTTTTCGCTATATAATCCCATCGGATTCAGTTCTTCGGATGAGTCCCTCTGTCTATGTAATTATCAAACTTATAGACAGAGTTCCGAATCCCGAAATCAGAAGACAGTCCAGGAGGTCTAATCCCATTCTCCGTCCGACATCCGTCCAAAACAATTACTGTCAAATAAGTAATACTCGACCAAATTTACAGACGCATGATGCGAATGAAGCTTCATACTTGATTTGGTCGGCTCGGACCATTGACTTACAATTATATGGACGTCGGGTCGGCGCTAAAGTGTCCGCACTTGTAAGGCGCTAAAATCGTATACTGAGCGCCAAACTCCGCTTTAGTCTTCATTTGTTCGACTGACAGCGCGATACTGCGATGACATTACAATTTAAATTTCGAATAGGTTGACTTGGGACATTTTTTTCGTGGTTTTTGTATTAGACCCGTCGTCCATTTATTTGTAAGTCAATGGCTCGGACGGAGAAAGGGAATAGACCACTTGAACGTTAATGAACATATTATTGGACATTTGTTGTGAGGCGTGGTGGTAACGGATGGAGTAAAGTTACCACCGAAAGGTGGTCAAGAAGTACAGAAACGTGGTACGTACACTGTATCCGTCTCATTAGACGGATAGAGCCATCGTCAAAGTTGCGGGTCGTAGATGGGCAAGATTAGCGCAAGTTATGTATGTACCTATGATATTAAGAATATTTGATAAATTAATTGCAAATATAGTAGATAGCATATACTTTTTTTCTTTTTTTATAACATCAAGTGACGGGACGAACAAGTCGTGCGCCTGATGGTAAGCTACACGCCTGTCCATAACAGAGTCTGAGGGGCACTACCACTGCGCCCGTCACCATGAGACATAAGGTGACAAGTTCCATATGCCTGTAATTTCACCAGCACCCTTACCCTTCAAAACTAAACACAGTAATGCTGACATTACTGCTTAGCGGCAGAAATAGGTAAGGTGGCAGTACTACCCTGGACCAACTCTTTTACAAGAAGCTCTACTACTACTAAAACATTGGCATGTTTCAAGTTAGTTTTTTTTAATTGTATAATTTAACCATTGACTTTAACCAAGGAATTCGATTGGTATCATTTTTATGCCTATGGTATCACAAAAGCATAGGTGTATTTTTTTCACATTTGGTCAGTTAAATTTTCGGATAAAGATTACTTACTTTTAAAAATAAAATGTCTTCATGAAGCAAAATATTCTTCCTACAATATTGACAGTACTTTTTTTTGGACAGCCTGTGTATTTAATACAAACAGTTCTACATAAACGTGCTCTTATAAAGATCAATGTGTGTAAATAAGATAAAGTCTAGACAGTTTTATCAAAGATGACCGTCAGATGATTAAAGTACTGTAAGCGGTGACGTGGTAGTCGCGCGTGGACGGTAAGATGTAGGAGTATCGTATGAGTCAGCATGGCATGACAGCAACAATAAGGAGAATTGCGATAGATGGCACCGTTTAGGACTTTCAGTTCCGCGTTTCGGGAAAATAAAATCGAGACTCAGTGCGGTCTCGAAAATCCCGGAAAAAACGAGATTTCGAAAAAACTTTCAAAATTCGCTTTCCATACTTGTCCGTTACGCGTTTAGATAATCAAAACATGATATCGTCGGGGATAGTGCAAATCCGTAGTATTGGTAAAAAGCGCGTATCTGCTGCACCAAATTTCACAGGAGAGGGATTTAACGTTATTACTTTGTTATTTCAATGGCTACGACTTTCATTTATATATGCACAGTAAGCATTAATTTATGCTGACTACAGACTCATAACAATAGATTCCCGTAAATCACGCTAATTTGGTTACCGCGACATTTACGCGGACTCATAATCAAATGCTAGTTACGCGTCATTGCACTATCCTCGACGATATTTATTCATGTTATTAAGTTAAGTGAATAGTTTACTTAGTTCAATTATTCATGAAAGTTTTGAAAGTAGTTTTTCTGATCTAAATCGCGTAGGTATATCTGTATTTTCAAACATGGTCACGGTCACGAATGACTCACGTGATCAGTCAACCTTGACCAAGGGATATGTAAAAGGCCCAAAGCGTTGGTTTGTTTGAAACAACAAAATGTTGGTTGACACATTTAACAATCGCGAAAACCTAAGAACTCAATGTGAGTTTTTTTTTATACTTGGCTTAGAACTCTTTTTGCGTTTAATAATAGAGAGGATTTGATTTATTACTACCATTCTTCAATCTTCATAGATTACACTAATCTCCACTCCACAGTGTTGCCACGTCCATGTAACCAAAATAAAAATGACTGTTGGTTTTTAAGAGTGTTTAATTAAATGGACTAAGTTTCAAATGTTTCGATATTCCCGACTGAAAACATCATAAAATCGTCGAAACCGACGAAATGTTCGAGACCGAAATTCTCGGGATGCAAACCCTAGCGCAAACATACAAGAACTTCACCTAAGTCTTTTTAGATAGTTTAGTGATGACTAGGGAAAACCCAATTTTATTTACTGTGTTTACAAGCCGTTGTGAAGAGCTCTTATTGGTCTAAAATTCTGCACACCAAAATGAGCAGCGCAAACCGGTGGCCGGAAAAAGAGATTATAACCACTAGTTCTACTAGAGGTGTTTTTCTTCCCGCTTATTCTGTTAATAAATAGACACCTTTCTTCACAGAACTATTGAGAATGTTCTCAATAGTTGTAGATAGAGGACGTTAAATTTTTCAACGTATATTTTATGCTATAACAATTGAGAAGGACTTCGGAGTATCGGAGCGCATTTCTTTTTGAATTTTATACCTTATTTCAATTGTCATAGCATAAAACATGCACTGATAAATTTAATGCCTTCCGATTTTGAATGAAATTAAAATCCATTTTTTTAAGAATCCATTTAATTAAGAATAGGAAATTCAATTTCCTAGTCGTATAGCAAACATTAACAACTTTTTAATTTTACCATATTGCATCATCACAAAAATCGACCCACCCTGTTTTGCATGATTCATTTTTATAGGTGTTTTCGAACTGTGAATTGTTTATGTCTAGGGTCAGATAAGAATTAATTATATAGAATAGATTAATTACCATAAATCTTAATGCACTTGAGCGCACTTGTTCAACTTTTTAGGACTAACACTGCTCAGTGCCGATTTGATTGTTTACTGAATACTGACGTATTCAATTTAACCCTGTTCTCGTTGCGAGACGCAGTTTTAAACTGTGCACTTGTTCATTACATTAACTCAATAATTGGCTATCGCTGTAGTTTAGACTAATTTTGTTTGAAAATTATGGATACTACTGAAGCTGAGGCGGCCCTAGTCGTAGCCTTGCTGCAACAGGGCTTAAGTCAACGTGTTGTGGCCCGAAGATTAAATCTCAGCCGATCTGTGGTTCGGCGAGTTTATCAGAGGTTTCTGGAGACTAGGCAGTATCGGAAAAGGCTAGGTTCTGGAAGATGGAGACATCAGCTCTAAGGAATCGGCACCTTTCCGACGTTGACATTCAGCGACGCTAACGTGAAGTGCTTGGGGTGTTGCGATAAGTGACAGTACCGTGAGAAGAAGACTTCGTGAACAGAATTTGACACCACAGAAGCCAGCTACAGGACCACAACTGACCACAGCTCGTCGTCAGGCCAGACTTCAATTTGCAAGAAACCACCTTCACTGGACTGGGCGTCAGTTTTATTCTGTGATGAGAGTCGAATGACTTCATGTGGTTCTGATGGGCGCCGTAATGTTATGAGACGACCAGGAGAACGTTACGCTCAGTGCTGTATAAGAGAAACCGTCAGTTATGCTGGAGGCTCTGTAATGTTTTGGGGTGGCATATGTTTGACTGCGCGTACAGACCTGGTGTTTATCAGAAGGGGTGCATTAACTGCTCCACGTTACATAACGGAGATCTTGAAAGATCATGTTACTACATGATCTCAGTATGCTGGCTACATTGGAGAGAACTTTCAGTTAATGCATTACAATGCATGGCCACACGTAGCGCGCATGCGCATCGTCACGGAGTACTTGGAAGAGGTCAACATTCGGGTTATGCAGTGGCCAGCAAGAAGTCCGGATCACCTCAAAACAACAACTGTGGGACACCTCACACCTCAAAACAAAAGGTTAGAGATCGAGATTCAGCCCCCACAACCTTGGAAGACCTGGAAACGGTCATCATGGAAAAATGGAACCGAATTCCTCAAGGAACTATTAAAGTTTTGATAAGGTCATTAAAACGGCGAATGCAGGCCGTTTGATTGAAATGAAAGTTTTGTCCTCATAACGCCTAAGAATGAAAAATTACGATGTCATAAAAAACAACATGGGTTAAATTGTTGATTTTAAGTTTTTTCAAAAATGTCAATGTTTCAACCATTTTATTGATTATTTTTAACTTTAATTGTAATGTTTAATTAAAAATTTGTTTAATTAAACATTACAATTAGAAAACAATTTGTTTAATTCAAAGATTTAAAAAATGATCTTTATTGCAAAAATATAGG